TCGATTCGAATCGCCGAATCACCAAATCGGAACTTCTCTGCACATCCGGAATATCATTTTCAGAGGAATGGTTTACCACAATGTTTAAAATTGCTTTCAATCTCATTTTTTCCGGAGACCTTTTCAGACCTTTTTATTTTTTCGGTTGCTTAGGACCCGATCGGCGCACATGATGGGCTCCTCCGGTCCAGCAGGCGAGCCAAACAGCCCGACCAGCATCGCAGATCCGACAGAACACGCCGCTAAACCGGATCGGATGGATTACCGATGTATAGATTGTGGCTGTGCGGCCGGCGCTGGGGCCACCTGGGTCTCCTCAATGATACACGACACGTCGGCTCCCCGTCCGTCTGGTGCGGGGCAGCAGAGGCAGGCAGGATCTGCTGATCGTGCCGACCGGACACTATCACTGCGGCAATAAGCGTGGCCCAGCCAAGGGCTGTCCTCTCTGGGTCCGTGTCTCGCGCTGTTTGGGCCGTGCCAGTCACGCTCGCGTGCTCTGGGTCACGAACAGCCCACGCCCCCACCGCCTACCCCCGGCCTACCCTTCCAGCTGAAGCTGCGTCCAGGTGGACCCCTTGGCCCCGGTGCGCGCGCCCCCGCTGCCCCTGGGGCCCCCGGGGCAGGTAGCTGTCACGGGCGGAACGGTTATCGGGTCCCCGGACACATCTATCGTGAGCGCCCGGGGGACAGGAGGGGGGGGGGAGTGAGCGGGCAGGGGGAGGGGCACGAGCGAGCTGGGACGAGTTCATTTCATCCTGCACTGCCGAATAAACTGAAGCCTGGGGCGGACTTACACAAGCCACCGCCGGATTATTTCGTGCTGACAATTTAATCTAAACGACATTTTGTCAATCATTGTTCACGGTTCAATTCCGAAATATGGGCCGTCTTTCAAAAATGTTGGTAATGTAAACCAAGTTGTGGTAATAGTTAATTTGAACCCTCCTATCACACAGTAGCTCCTTTGAAAGCCCCTCCGAAAGAATCTGGAAATGCTATCCATTTTTCCTTCTTATCTGTCTAAAGGAAATATTTGCCAAAATCATTGACGATTGCTTATATATCAGAGTACATGCCATGTACACTGACATGTTAGTGATCATCAACTTTTGCTGATATATCAGCATAAAATGTACACTGTTGACTTTTCAGAGTGGAAACTTTCCTAGTTACACCCACAACTAATTTTCACAGAGTCTCTTTTGTTGAGTGACGGACGGAATTTCGAGTGATGCCGAGACGCGGGTGGTTGGTGCTTCCCTCGGCCGGGGCGTATCGCCGGCGCTGCGAGTTGCCTGACTCGGCCACAGATGGCGCCACTCGGCGCACTGCGCGCCTCATGCCGTCCGTCCGTGTGTGAGCGCGCAGGTTGCTGCGGAAGGAGGCGAACATCGAGAAGCGACTGACTTGACGGTCGCGAGGCCCTCGGGGTTGCAGTCCAGCCTGACGTATGACACCATCTAACACCTTTTGCTTTTCTGTTTGTCCACAGGTGAGTCGACCGGTCTGAGTCGCTGGTTTGCCGTCAGTGAGTTTTTAGTGATTCAATTCATTTACCGGTATTTCTCGCGCGCCGTCCTGTTCCTGGCAAGCTCCCACGCCTCTCACAGCAGCACCACCAGCTAGGCGCTCCCCTCGCCTTTTAATGACCCTCTAAATACCCAACCCAGCTATGTTTTCTTTCTTTCACCCACCTGATTTTTTTCCGTGCAACCTGTGCTTGACTCGAGCCCATTTTCGTCACAATTAAATAGTTGTTGGTGATCTCGTCATAAACGATATTTAACGACACTTAATCTTTAGATTCCCGGTTGATGTTAAAATGTAAATGTTAAATTGGAGAGAAAGCGCTCTGCTGTACTATGCATCCCAATCTGGCGTTTTATTTAGTCTCGTAGCACTTGGCAAATTTCAAAAGTGATCAGGTGTTTTACGCGGTCATGGTCATATCCGATGGGCAGGTTTGGTCTACCTTCGATAGGAATGGGGAGATTGGGAGAGAGAGAGAGAGAGAGAGAGAGAGAGAGAGAGAGAGAGAGAGAGAGAGAGAGAGAGAGAGAGAGAGAGAGAGAGAGAGAGGGAGGGAGGGAGAGGGAGAGAAAAGAGAGAGAGAGAAGGGGCGGGGATATGCTGGCCGTCGCCGGTCTCGAGTCTCCGTTTGAGCGGGAGAGAGACGGAACGATACGAGATGCTGATCCGGTAACAGCCTCGGGTAAACAGTGGACGCGCGGAATATGACGTAACTCCTCGTTGCCAGGCAACCAGGACGCCCCCTGTGCCTCTCCTTGCCGCCCCCCACCCTCCCTTACCTTGTACCGCCCCTGGGGTGCGACATCGGCAGGAAACAGACGCAAAACCACGCTGAGCCGCGCCACGCCATGCCACCACGACGCGTGTGCTTCTCCCTCGGGCGCCGGAACCGGGCGCCGCAGCAAATAATAACTCTCTGTGAGGATTCCGTATGTTGTGTTACGTAAATGGGTTTGGTTGTTATTCACTTCATCATTTCACGCACCTCATTTGTCTAGATGCGCACTGTCTTCCTAATGGTCCCAGATACCTGCCGATGATGTGCCGCTCCGCGGTAGGGGCATCCTCAAGGGAACGTGCGCGGTGTAAGGAGGAAAGAGTGGGTGAGGGGGGGGGGGAGGGGGGAGAGAAGCAGCGGAGAAGAAGATAGAGAGGGAAAGGAGGAGAGAGGGAGGGAGAGGGTGTGCGTGTATATGCCTGCGTATGAGCGCGTGTGGCAGGCCCGAAGTGATCTGGACAGTATCCTCCACCGGCGGGGTGCTGGGCCGGGGGGTCGGCCAGGATGGTGCTTGGCGGTCTGCTGGCCGGCCAGTGGCCAGTGGTCCCCTGCAGCTCATCCGGCCAGTCGGCAGTACGTTGCCAAAGCCAACCAGTGCGCTCAAGAGCACGCCATCGAGACCAGCTCTCTGCCCAGCACACAGCATAGTCCCAGTACTTCTATCTCTCTAGTGGCCTCTTTGCGGTACGTGAGTGCGGAGTGAGTGTGAGGTTGAGTGAGGCACCACAATGCATTCGGCAGCATTGAGTCAGTCGTCCAGGTTATTCCACATTCGTTCAATCATATTATGTCAAGTATAACTTTCCAAATCAGCGATTGTTTTTAGCTCGCATTGAATCGAATCTCGGGAAATTTTCTTCTAATTTTCTCTGAATCAAATCGTAATTGTTGTTCAACCTTTGACTAAGACAGAACTGAATCTGCTTCAATGCAGTCCCTAAACAATTATTACATTTATTTGGTGGGAGTGGGGGTTATAGGCATGCATTTTTAAAGAGAAATTTCAAAGATCTCTATTTTTGAAGCAAAGAAGCCTGCTAAACATCTAAATTTAAAGTAAAGATTTCTTTCACCCCAAAAAATGTGTCCTCAATTCAAGATGATACCCAAAATTTTAAGGCAAATAGGGATTAATTTAATCCCTGTTTACTTAATTTAGGTGTAAAATGGGGGTTAAAATAAGAACATTTGCCTTAAAATTTTGGGGATCATCTTGAATTGAGAACACATTTTTCGGGGTGTTACATCTATATCAAAAAACGATTTCTCGGTGAGTCGCTGGGCCACGAGCAAGCAATGAAAAACACTCAGTAATCTGTACTGTTTTATCTGATTCTCTGAAAGGAGTGCTCTTGGCAGCATCTCCTGGAAACGACGAGTCTCCACCCCCGTCCGCTTCTTGCAGGCGTGTTGGCGGCGGAAGGGGTGAAGTTGGGTAGTGTAAGAAGGGGGGGGGGGCTCGGCATCCGCATTTCTCATTAAAGGACAGGACAGGGCCACGTCTTGCGCCTCTTCCAGAACAAAAACGGCCACGAAGTAAATTGCAACTAGGTGCTCGAGGTCAGGCCCGTTAAAGAGATCTTGATAAATTTGGCACCAAATGGCGATCTGCGTGGCGCGATGGATCACTATGAAGTTTTGTATCAGCTGGTATGGTGACGCACGGGGCGGGCTCAAATTACCGTGGCATCAAGTTCTTTAGCCGAGTTCAATGGAGGATGGCGACGAGGGAGGTGTCAGCACGGTGTTTTTTTGCTTGTTTTTCGTCCCCCTCTTCACACAAAACTCTCCTGCACGATTTTAATCTTATACAAAAATTCGTGCTGTGGAACTTTGTGCGATTTTTTTTGCCTTGTCTTTTTTCTGGTTTTGTTTTACCTTTCTTATGCCTCTCCTCCCTTCCAGAAGACAGGTGTAAAACGCAGCTCTGATGAAAGCTGAGCTGCTTTGTGTTGATCGCTTTCTTTTTTCGTATCGCCAGGGGCCGTGCCCCTCAGTGGGGACTGCCCCCATTCGTTCACTGACCCGCCTTATCATTGATTTTAAGCTCGATTTTAAGCTTAATCCTTAACTTGATTTTCTGTCCCTATCGCTACAATGAGACCGAGAAATTCTCGGAGAAATTGGTCGTTGAGAAATTGGAACAGCGTCAGAGTGTAGACCATGTTCCGTCGGGTCATGTACTACGGGTAGCAAGCTTGGCGGGCGCAACTGCAATAACCATGTCGCTGGGTTAAATCCCGACGTTGAATCATAGTTCCTCGCTTCATAATGATTGGGAATTAATAATAGTAGTACTTAGCGCGGATGGGTTGCTGCTGATGCTGCTGTTGCGGTTTAAATTAATTGCCTTTTGCTATTGAGGGAAGCATTCATTTGACGGGCAAAGTGGCCCCGCACGTGACGTCACATCAATTACCACCTGAGTGGCTGTGGGGGCGCGGCGGGGCGTGGCGGGGCGTGGCGGGGCGTGGTGGGGCTGGGCGTGTGCGCGCACTGAGCATGCACCGGAGGGAGAGGGAGGGCGCATAAACACACACAGGCCTTTCGGAGGCGGCCCGTCTCTGTCAGCGCCCCCCCCCCCTCCCCGTGAGCAGGCCGGCGACGCGCTGGGGAGAGCAGAGCTTGGCAGTGTGGCGGCGGTAGTGGCTCAGGTTGTGAAGCTGCGACTTTGGACGTTGGGTTGCAGGACCTTATTGCTCGGGCTGGCGTTTTGCTGCGGCCGTTCATAGCGCACGGTAAGACTGCACGCCTGTAGTGCCCCCGTAGGCCGCCCCGTAGGGGGAGCCCTGTAGGCCGGCACACTAGCTTAGCTAGGCGCCGGCTCCAACTCAATGTCACACCCAGAGCGCCACGTGGCTCTGCTGCTATCCCCCTCTCTGTCTACTCTTCTCTGTAGTGAGCGGTGCTTTGCCTAGTGAAAACTCTTGGTGTGCTTCCGACACTATGCGCTGTGAGTATTTTTGTAAATAATCTGATTAAGGCATGAGGTTGTTTATTTAGAACACGTGCAAAATGATCTTTAGAGTTTTCCTTCGCGTGTAGTGGTCTCGTTCCAATAGTTTAGGACTGTGGCCATCCTTCTTAATGTATTGTACATGTGTATTTTTCTACGTCCTGGGTACCTTTAGTGTCACTAGGCAAGGTACTACTGTAGTTGAATTATCAGCGGGTTTTTTTTAATCCCGGCCAACTTGCCCTTTGTAACCTCATACATATAATAGCACGACAGAGAGACGCAACTGCGGTTGGGGAGGAGGAGTAGACCCTACGGTCAAAGTTTGCCTCCCCCAATGAAGGGCCTGCTGCTCGTCAAACTATCTCGCCGCGCAGTTGTGCGTCAATGTCGGCACCAATTGACGGAGCGTTTAAAAAGTTTGGTGCGTTGTTGGCGGGTGGCCGTCGTCTCGAAATAGCAGCTCCGGGTACCATAGTAGGGTGCGTCGAGCAACCTCTCCGCCTCCCTTCGCCGCACGCCCCGAAGGCCCTCCCCCCCTGCTCCACTTCCCGGTCGTCGCGTCAACACCAATAATCAGCGATTTTGCGCTGCTGCGGAATTGCAGTAGTTTGGACAATATATGGTCTGCCCGTCTCGCTGCGACGGCCGCACACTCTTCCCGCAGTGTCACTTCTTCATTCACTCGAGCTGATTCCAGTCCGATTGTTCTGGGTTCTTGATAATCCCGTCGTCAGATGACTGCTCGGCAGACAATGGGCGCCCGCGGCGGGCCCCGGGCCCCGGCCCCGGGCCGGCCCCCCTTCTGCTGCATGTGACATTGGAATCCCTGATGATGTTGCAGTCCGTTGTCCCCGCGCGACTCGAGAGAGAGAAATGGGGGGGGGGGTTCATCGTGTTAATTACCTCGCCATTGACTCGTCTTGTGTAATTCATTCTCTCATGCCGCTTGATGATGACACTTGCTCCTTCGCCATGCACTACACGGTCAGCTCCACAGCTGATCGCCCCCCGCCCCTCCCCCTCTAGCCGCAGGGGGGCGCGCCGCCCACCCCCTCCCCAGCGGAGCCTCAGTCTCGCTGCGGCGCCCAACGGAGAAGCAGCGCGGAGCGCCCCACACCGCCGCCGGGGCCCTCGTGTCGCCTCGTGTCCGGGTCGTGTCCGCGTCGTGCGCCGCGGTGTCGCGTCGCGTCGTGTCGCGTGCGGGTCGCTGACTGACAGCCCCTCTTAGCCCCCCACCGGAAGCGCACCACCCCGTCGACGACGCCTCCCCCGCGTGCCGGCCGCGCGCCGGGATGGCCGGCGGAGGACGTCGCCGCCGACTGCCGTCGCCGCCGTCCAGCCGATGACACCCGGGAGACAGGCCGACCTGCCGCGGGTTGGCCCCCGCCAGGACATGCGCGCCGCGGGGGTGTCCGGCGGCGTCCGCGACGCTCGCGCCGTCGAGTCGCGCCGGGGGGCTTACGCCGTGTGACGCGCACAAGTGTCCATGTCATCGCCGCGATCAAACTCTGCATCAGCCATGTCGAGCAGCAGTCGTAGGGCAGTGTCCGAGCCGGCGAGAAGTGTCCAGAGTGTCCAGCCATGGATGTGAACAAGCCGCCCGTGCACAAGTGCAACAGCGACCCCACCCGGGGTTCGCTGGCCGCCGCCGCGGCAGCCGCCTCCCCGAGGAAGTGCGTGCTGACGCTGGATGGATACTCCTATGTCATAGGTGTGTGTCTTCGGGGACTCTGTACCTGGGGAGCCTCCCTCCCCCCCTCTCCCCTCGGCAGTTCGCGATGGCGCGTTACCCGCTGTGTGCAACGGCTGCAGGCATAGGGCGTCCCCCCCTGCTTCATCTGGCACAGGGCATGCTGTCGCTTTTATGCGAAAACTCGGCTGCAGCGGCTGGCCGAGGTGCTCCATCACCTGACGCGCAATATGCCCCGCGACGCGCTTGCTCTCGGTGCGCCTTCATTGTCCCCGACTGCCACCTTATTGAGGTGTCCTGTATCCGTGTGTGCTGTTACCCTTTTTCTGCTTTTCTTTCACAGTTTCTATGGTGTCTAGGGGTATCTATCGCGATACGGCGCCTGTTGATGTAGTGGCCCCTCTATCTGTGTTTACTCTGCTAATGTGGGGCTTATCGATGGAAGGCCTGTCGACTCGCGGCGGCCCCGCCCCGGTGGGGGAGGGAGAGGGCGCGTACGGCCGGGCGGGGGAGGGTCATCGCCTCGGCGGTGCTGCCCTCCGCTGCCCCAGCTCCGGCAGGTGCGCCAGCTGCAGGGGGGGTCAGACGGCCGGCCGCGGCCCCGCCCCAGCTGCAGGGATGGGCCGGCCGTCCGTTGTCCGTCTCCGTCAGTTGCCGCCCCGGCGGCCCCGGCACGGCGGCAGGCTCTAAGGTAGATAAGATAGTCGGGATGCACTTCGCGTCGGACCGGCTGGGCATCATCGGCTCAGATTGTAAGGCGGCAGTGCGGGGCTTCCGCGTCGCCGCGTCCGACTCGCGTCCTTGTGTTGTGATATGTATCCGGTTGGAAACTGCGGGCAGACACTCGAAGGGACCAGCAGCAGCCCGCCCCCCGAGCCGAACGGTAAAGTGTAACATAATGCGTGTCGCGCCGTCAGCCGCCCATATTTCTTCCTTCTCGCTCCCCAAGGATATGAAAATGATTTAGACTGTCGGGGTCCGTGCGCACGCCCCCGCATGGCCGCCGCGGCCGAGTGCCAGCCCGGCCGGCCCAGCGGGGACCGCTAAGCTTTTGGCCGGTCCGGTCTTGCTGTCTCCCTTCCCCATCCCCCCCCCTTTCTCTCTCCCTCTCTCTCACCCGATGGAGCGTATCGTACCGTATTGGTCACGCTGCGCCACGCCGCGTTCCGTGTAATATAATTAGTCGGGTTTCATTACGTAGCCAGGGCGTCTGCTTCGCTCCTCTCCCTCCTCTTCTCATCCTCCTCATCGTCCGCATCCTCCTCATCCTCCTCATCCTTCTCTCCCTCCTCCTCTCCCTCCTCCTCTCCCTCCTCCTCTCCCTCCTCCTCTCCCTCCTCCTCTCCCTCCTCCTCTCCCTCCTCTCCTCTCTCCTCGTTTTCCTCATCCCCCCTCCGCCACCACCCTCCCCCCATTCATTTCCCCATCCCCACTCACACCGCGTTCTTATCCCCCCGACGTCCGCAGAACATCGCGCTGCTGCTGCTGTGGTAGGTGGGTGACCCGAATTAGCAGATTGAACACTCACTCCCTTTTTAGAGGTCATATCGGTCGGAGTGCCTCTCTATAGTCCAGTGCGGTAGAGAAGGGAGGGGGGGGGGGCAGTGGTCAGCGCGTCACAGCCACAGCGAGTATGCGCAGTGAGAAACGGCCTACGACACACGCGGACGCACGGCTGGATTAACCACGCGTGGCAAAATACAAAACAGTAATGATGGCAAACAAACTGTACTACGACGCGGAATTATAACCCGACCCGCTCGCCGTGAAACAATGAAAATGAATAGAGTATCAGCGCCGGTGCGAGAGCCGCGTATCCCATTGTGTGAAGTGCTGCTGACGCTGATGCTCCGTGGCGGCTGCGGGCCGAGCCCAGCCGCACAGCAGGCGCCATACAGGCAGCGCAGGCAGCGCAGCGCCGCTGTTCACTAAATCCCTGTGCCTTGTGGTTGTCCGCGACCGGTATCAGCGCGGCTGCCCCTGGCGATCAGGCGATCAGGGGAAATTCCCCCCCCCCCCGGCACTCAACAGCTTGATCCCCCCGCCCCCTCCTCCACTAGTTCGCTGCGAAGAGGCGTGCTGTTTGAGTTTGCCCCATAGCGGCGGTCCCGCGGCGGCACCCTAGCGCGCTGCGCAGCAGCCACTCCATGACCGTCTTCATTATTATTATTGTTTTTACGCAACTTGCCCCGCGCGCGCCGGACGGCGGCATCCCACGCCCTGCTGTTTGTTGGCAAGGGCGCTCGTGGCGGCAGCGACGTGGCGCCCGGGGAGAAGAGGGGGGGGGGGAGGGGCATTGTGCCCTCGTTAGTGCTCACATTACCGGACAAAGCACGGGAGGCCCCCCCGCGCGCGAGCCCAGGCAGGCGGCCGGGCTATGTGCTGCTAAAATTCAATTCGGGGAAAGGCTTAATATTTTATTTACCGTGCAGACCGCCGCCCGGCCAACGGCGGCGGCGTCAGGGTTTGCTTAGCAGATTACACGGTTTTCAGAGTTTGGCCCGGGCCGAGAGTGGAGGACGGTCTGGAGAGCTGCCCCCCTCGCGCCGCTGCCGGGCCGGCCTGTTTGCTGCGGCCCTAAAGGTGGGCCGCATGGCAGGCTCACGGCTGGCTCACAGCACCCGCATGGACCCGGCGGCCTCCTCGCAAAGCAGCCCACCCTAGACTCTTATGCAATTTTTTGGCTCGTAAACAGTAAACATGCACAATTTTAAACGGCCCCTAGTGTGCACGTTTTTCATGCAAAATTGTACAAAAACTTATGGCTGTTTAAAATCCTGCATGTTTATGCACAAAAGAGTCCATACGGTTCAGTGTGCCTACGAGGCAAATAAATTATGAGAGAACTTAAGTCAGACCAGCTGTCAAAATGATAAGTAACCTACCAAAAAATGTACTATGAAAGAGATAACAGCGCTGTGCAACTAGCAGGGCTTGTCAAGAGGAGAGCGCGAGTTAGTGTGCCCTCCTCCCCCACCCTTTCTCTCGTCCCTCGCCGGTCTCTCCACTTTGTTTAGCTTTCCTCCTCCCCCCTTACCTGTGACTTTATTAGCGAGCGTTCGCGCTGGCAAGTCCTCGCCCCAGAGAGA